AAAAATTTAGATAATCACCTATGTAATATTCATATTATGGCAACTGTTACTAATGATTGAGTTAGGATACCTGTAATGGCAGTCACACCAACATGACTGGCAGGTTATAGAGCATCTGTGTAAGTATGGCATTACACAGAGGAATGCAAACCAACAAATCAGGCGGTGCAAGCACTAGATAAATCCTTGTAGCCATGTAAATCTGTTGAAATTGGGTAACAAGAAGTCCATTTAGGAAGACCCAAGTAGAGAAGTAGCTGGATCTTCGATGGCCCTACTGTAAAGGCTAGCTCGGGGAAACGGATACCAAGGTCATAGTAACCGGTCGTAGTAGCTGGACAGGCAAGAACCTCTGAGTTGGGGTCCTGGAGGTACCACCAACCAGGTCATCAGAATGAACTGGAGAAAAAGGATATCAGGCCAACCTGATATACCAATGGACTGGTCATAGTCCTACATGGGCTATCTGGATTGGAAGTTTGGTAAAAAGGTTGGACAAAAGGCAAGGGTATACTAAAGTACTGAGGTTATGCTGTGAAGTAGATGCTAAGGTCTAAGTGAACTCTACAAGGGCATAGTGGTTTAATGGTTAGCCCTGACCACAAGTATTGGTTCTGCCATAGCAATACCTAGATCAGTTGTAAAAATGGGTACAGAAGGCTCTGAGGGGTTTACCTTAAGGATAAATTAGTCCTAAGGTTGTGGACGATGATCTGGTACATCAGAGATGACCAGTAATGTTAACACAGGTTACAGGTTCAGAAGGTTTAAAGTAGAACACCAAGCAGGAGTGTTAGGTATGGCAATTAGTAGGGAACCTTTAGGCAGACTCCTTAAATAGGTAATATAAAAAAGTTACACATGTAGCCAATTGTACGCTCTCCTGTAGTGGTTCATTGAACCACAATACCGATAAGTGATTAATAAAAGTCAAAAGACCAAAGAGGTCATCTTAATACCAAAAAAATAAAAATAAAATAAACTAGTACTAAGTAGTGCAAATTTAAAATAAATTCTTGTATTATATTATAAGCCTGGTTTTTTGAAAATCATGAGGGCCTGAATCAAATGATGATCTCTACCTAATTTGAAGTTATATAAAAAATAACAGAAATGTTACATTTGTTATTTCTCTTACTTCTATTACTTCTGTTATTTATATTATTTTTTTATTTATAAAATAAATGAGATATCAGTCTTTTATCAAATATAATTAAAATATAACAAATATTATATTTATATTAGAAATTAATTACCAATATAAATAAAACTTTTATTATAAATAAAGAACCTTTTATCTAGAAAAAAAGTAACTATGATACCTTAAGTCAATATATTTGCTAAATAAACTTAAGTATCAAATCTATATTGAAAGTAAAACTATATCCTAACTCAAACTAAAAACTATCATTAAACTTATTATCATCAACTATTGTTTAGCTATTATTAAATTATTAAACTGCATTTTGATTGTTTATTGTAAATCATATAACCAAGCTATTAATATAAAAGAAAAACTCTAGCCTGATTCAATATTTTGTAACTCTAGGCTAAAAAAATAAAGAGAGAACAAAAGAAAGCAAGAGTTAATAAAAGAATAGGTTAAAGAAAGAACTTAGAAAAAAAGAATAGTACTTACTTACAGATAAACTACTTAGCCAAATCTAATACATCTATTTTGACTAAACTGTTATAGGTTATATAAAAATTAGAAAGAATTAGTAACAGACTTGCTAATTTATTGCACAATAGTATAAATTTGTATAATTTAAAAAGCAAAAGATTATTTTGAAAAATCTAAATAAAAAAATAATATAAATCTTTAAAAATATTACTATAAAAACTAAATCTAGAAAACAAATATTAATATAAAAAAATTAAGTAGACAAAAACTTTTAGATAAGAGGTACTACCAATCAATCTATTATAATTTAGACTAAAAAAAAGTTAAACTAATTTTAATATACTAAGAACAGATCATAATCTTACTAAGTTATTTAAATTAGAAATCTAAAAACAAAATATAAATATACTAAAATACTAGTAATATATTATAAAATTAGTACTGAATTTAATAAACTCTGAAAAGACATAATCTTATTAATAGTTTATAAAGTAGATAGATTAATTAACAGACAGATACTTTGAGTTTTACAGTCAGATAACATGCTTTAAAGCAGATAATAACTTGACAATATATAAAAAATAATATTAAATATTGAATTAAATAACACTTAGATATACAAAAACTAGGCTTTATTTGTTTAATATAATATAAAGACCAAATTTTAAAATAAATAATCTTTTAGTAAATTACAAATATAGCAATTAGTGCAGAACTTGCAAATAAACTATTTAAATAAATAACCAAAAGTGCATATATAACTATTTGCATACTTGTATAAGTTATATGTAATATATAATTAAAAACACAATAAAGTCAATAACTGTCATTAGCATTAGCCTTAGCCAAAAACAAAAAAAATTTAATCAATAACAAAAATAATTATTTTATTATAATTTTAAAAATTATATATAAATTATATATTTCTTAATATTTATAATTCTATTTATTAAATACTAAAATATTTTTTAATTTACAAATTTGCTAAAAATTGTTTTGGATTAATAACACTTTCTGGATAAGGCAAAATAGAAACTTTTCTTAATGCATCACCACCATCAACTAATAAAATTGTGCCAGTAATAAAACTAGATGCATCAGATGCTAAAAAAAGTGTTGCATATTCAATATCTTTAATTTTTCCCTAAAATAAAATAAAAATCAATAAACTAAACTAACAAATATATATAATAAATATAATATAAAAATATTTATATTATATATTATAAATTATAATAAATACTTACAACTCTTTGAAGAGGAAGTTCTTGATCAGGTTTTTTAGAATTAGAAGGAAGAAGTCTTGAAAAACCTTCAGTTTCATCAATTGGACCTGGAGCAATTACATTAACACGAATTTGATGTGGACCCCATTCAACAGCTAATGCCTATAAAATTAAATACAGTATATATTATATTATAATTATAAAATAAATTATATTTTTAAATATATAATATGATTTTTTTAATATACCCTTGTTAAAGCATCAACACCTGCTTTAGCAGCCATTGCATGAGACTATTAATATAAAAATTTGGGGTTTAATGTTGAAAAATGACTATAATAGTTTACAATAATAAAAAATTATACCTGAAAAAGAGTAGCTAAAAAAATTATAAAATTACATAAACAAAAAAAAACAAAAATATAAATAATAAATTAACGAATAATAATACTTACCTTGATAATGAAGATTAGCAGACACATTAATTACAACACCTTTAGTTTTTTTCAAGTGAGGAAAACATGCTTTAGATGTATTAAAAGTTCCAATTAAATCAATTTCAACAACAGTACGAAAACCTCGATAAGAAAGTGATTCAACAGCTGCTAGAAAATTTCCAGCTAATGAATATTAAAAAAAGTTTTAAAGTTTAAGTTTATATTACTATATGAATATTTAAAATTTTTTAAAATTAAATACCTGCGCCATTAATAAGAATATCAATTTTACCAAATTTTTCTATTGTAAGGTCCACGGCTTTAATAATATCTTCAGGTTTACGAACATCAGCTGCAATCGCACTAAAGAACTTACATGTATATATAAATGTAATACGTATATAATAGAATTTGTTTTTATACCCTTAAATTTACTATTTATACCTTGCAGATTTTTTTTTTTTTTTTAACTTTGAATGAAGATATCTCAGTAACTACTAGACTAAATTCAGTAAACATTTTTTCTTTAAGTTCTATAGATTCATAGAATTTGAATAAAAAAGTTCATTGAATTTGACCCAATAATTACTAAAATATCTTTGCTCAAAGTTTGAAAAATTAAACCGTCTATCAATACAAGCTATACAAAATTTTCTTTAAACTTTGAACGAAGATATCTCAGTAACTATTAAGTCCAATTCGATAAAACTTTTTTTATTTGAATTCTTAGATTCATAGAATTCAACCAAAAAAAAAGTTCATCGAATTTGACTTAGTAGTTGCTGAGATATCTTCGCTCAAAGTTAAAAAAAAATTTTGTAGTTGTTTTGATAGACGTTTTTGATTTTTTTCAAACTTTGGGTGAAGATATCCAGCAGCTACTGGGCCAAATTCGATGAGCTTTCGATCAAAGTTAAAAAAAATTGAATCTGCAGGAGGTAAGGATAATAAATTTGGGTGCACAAAAAAACAATTCCCTATATAATATATGTCGTGCGTCAAGAAAGAACCAATATTAATTGAACAAAAATAACAGAAAAAAATAGTGAAAGTGATGTATTGATCATGTAGAATAATTACTATTTCAACTTGAACCATATAAAATTATCGACGCAAATCAGTTAATTTTAATGCATCTTAAGCTTAAAATTTAGTTTAAGGGTTCTAATTTAACGCACAACATACATAAGTAATTGAAGAAATTTAATGAAAGTTACATGACTTCAGCACCAATTTCCTTTCGCATTTGTTCGGCAGCTTTATCAAGTTTGTCTTGACTAAATTATCGAATAGTCGAAAATATAAGGAATGAGAGATAAATTATAAATAAAGTAATTTAATGCATTCAGACAAACCTTCTGCTTATAATAGCAGCTTTTGCACCATGTCTCAGCATTGCTTCAGTCATGCCTTTACATATTCCACTACCACCTTGTAAGAATTCAAGGAATTAGTGTCAACGACAATAGGTTATCATAGAACAAATGATTAATTGTTAACAAACCTCCAGTAACAAAGGCTACCTTTCCTTTCAAAATATCATTTTTGAATATTTGCTCGGTCATTTTGAGAGTAAAGACAATAGTAAAACTTATTATTGTAAATATATATATATATCGATATTTAAAAAATTAGTATTCACTGGAGGTGAAATTCATCATATGTTTTTAATTATTATTTATTATATAGAAAATTTTACCACAAAGTTTAAGTTAAAACCAAATTTTAGGGTTTAAGGCTTAAGATAAAGTAAAGGTTGGGATTTTTAGGGTGTTACCATAAATGCGGGCATGGGCATTAATTCGAATATCGTACCCTTAAAATAGCTCATGCGCGTCCCGCACCCAAATGAATAAGTATCGTGCTGTATCGGTAATATATCGGGTAATGGCGAATATACAACGGTAAATCAGGTGTATATTAGGAGAGTTTCGAAATTAATACTTTATCTCGAAATAACGCCTTGGACGTACCCAAAATAGCGCGCAGATGCTCGCTATTTTGAGAATTTATAGTAAACATTTTCGCTTGATATACTGAATATCGATTACCAATGTTGTTTTTGAGAAACAGCATACCTGATGAATTTCACTTCCGATGAGCGTTAAAATCGTCCTTTAAATAAATTAGCAGTTAGCGTTAGCGAAATTTCGGTTCCGGCCAATCAGGAACAAGACAAGTGTAACGTGAAGGATAAAATTTTAAACGATATTGTAATTGTGATACGTAGCGAAGAATCAAGACTTGGATAGGAAGAAGCAACCTGTGCATCTAAAAATATGAGACCGATTTTAGATATAAAGTATATATTAATTCTGTATAATCTTAAAATGTCCAATTATTAATTTTGATTTACGTACAGTCTCGGATATTACGTACCAAATATGGGAAACGTTTAAAGCTATATAATTAATATTTATCATCTTAGATTAGGGTTAGGTTGGGTTTTAGATAGGTATAAATATGCAAAATTGCCTTCCCGACATTTTTATTTAACTTACCCGAGTTAGGTTTAGACTGCCGTTTTTGTTTTTCATTTTTCTTGTATTTCTTCGCCGGCGATCATCAAATTTCTATAATTTATTGGCTAGCAGTCTACTATGGTGTTTTTTGATTTCGTAATATTTCGGATCTAACACAGTAGACGAAAATCCGATATAAATCCGATAAGATCCTATATTTCCGATACTTCTGACATAAATCCTAGATTCTCTTTATAGCCAGTATCGCCCATAAAAAAATGTAGCAGATGTCATCATTCTGTATATGAAATTTGAGTTCCGATAATTTAGCGATTTTTTTTCAATTTTTATTAAACATTTAACGATGTTTTTAACATTTAACATTTGCATAAATAACAAGCACATATACATAATAACGAAGCATATATGCATAACAATAAAATAATTAAAAATTGAATTATGAGAACCAATACATCTAGTGTTGGGCTCTGGACCAAAAGTCCGCTCTACTGGACTTATAAACTGGACCACTGGACTATAAACTGGACCACTGGACCTATAAGTCCAGTTTCAGTTCAATTTTACTGGACTTATAAGCAAGCCCAACACTGAATACATCGTATTGTGGTTTAAATCACTCCAAGTTTGAGTTGTTTTACGATTTTCATGTTTTTTTTTAATATCTTCAACTATATTTTCTAAAGCTTTAAAATTTGAACAAACTGATTTTAGTCAAACATTTTGATTAGGTTTATTTCATGAAATGTTTAGAATTTTTTTACTCTAATGATTAATTATACAATAATAATGATAATCAATTAATATTTACATTTAAAAAAGCATAATATTACTTACTTTTTTAAGTATATTATACAGATGATTTAAAACCTGTTCATCTGAATTTTCTTTATCATCATTGTTACTAAGTATAAAATCATTTTTATAAGTTTCAATTAAATTACAATTAATAGAAATTTTTTTGATATTCATATAGGTGTTTTGAAAGTTAAAAATATTTTGAATTTCAATATTCCTTATTTCAATAATCAGATATTTATCATTCTGTAATACCTGTAATTGTATAAAAAAACAAATAAATATTAATAATAATTAATAATTTATAAAATATTAAATATTTATATTTCAACTCTTCTTGATGATTACTTAAACCAAACTAGTATCAAAACAGTTTGAAGAGTTATGTTTTTAAGTAGATGATATCTTTGATTTTATTTTAATATATAAAGTAGATTGTTGTTAATAAACTAGAAGTACATAAAAAAACTGAGATGCAAGTGATTCTTCTGGTGATTTGTGTTGAGATTAAACCTTTCTACAGACAGATTTCTTAACATATTTAGTATCTAAACCAGAAAGAAATTCTGAAAACAATAGAGAAAAATTCTGATTAAAGATTATTCAAAGCTTGAAAACAGAACAAACAGTTGAAAACATTCTCTTTAGTTTGATTTTTCATCTATTTTATTTTTTTTACTTAAAAATAGAAAATTTGATTTTTTTCTATAAAAGATCAGTATTATTTATCACTTCCTTTTTTAGATAATTACATATTGTAATATAATGTAATAAAAACACAATAATCATATATATAGTTTAATATATAATATAATAAAAAAACAAAAAAGGATTTAAGTTAGAAGATTATAGTAAATTAAAGATATATAGTAATTTTTAGAATTATATATATAGAATTTTTATTTCTTTAATACAAATTAAAATATAGTTAAATCCTTAGTATAAATTTAAAGTATTAATAACCTTACTGGAATGGTTACAAATAAAGTATGTCTTCTAATACTTTTCTTTTTTCTTCTATAACATTTTTTAGTTTAGTTTAATTTAGTTTAGTATTTTTTTTTTCTTTCATTTTTCTATAAAAAAGTATTATTAATTTGGTAATACTTTATTGTAAGGCAGTGATTAAAAATAACCTTTCAGGTAGTAACTTGTTATTGTTTGAAATAGTAGATTGTTTCTATGCATTCTTAGAAGCAGCCAAGAGAATTGAAACTAAAAAATTAAACATGTAGTATTAGTAACAGTATTAATATTCTCTTAATAAAAGTACACTAGCATGTTTATTTAAGTAAAAAAAAAATATATTTGTATTTTTATATATCTTTTTGAAAAAACACTATTTATTTTATCAACTTTAATAATAAGATATTTGTATAAAAAAAATTAGCTTGAAAGATATAAATAATAAGAGCAAATTCAATTTTCTATATTTATTTTATATTTATTAGAAAAACAGATTTTCTTTTTTTTATATATTTACTATTCTGTTTTAAACTCTTTTCTTTATAAAATTACTGTATATATTGATTTTGTCATAAAAAATGAATTTAGTAAAGCTGTTGGTTAATAACTTTATAAATAAGAATATAATATAAATAATCAATATAAAGTTAATGAAACTTATATAAGTATTTATATTTAATATATTGCTAATATACTGTAACTCAATGATCATTTTTATCTTAATATGCTTAATTTTATTAGTTGTTGCTTTTTTTTCATTTAAGTAGTCATATTGGTATACTTTTACTAAGAAAATATTAATATTACTGCTAATACTACATGCTTAATTTCAAAGTTCCAACTTTTCTGGTTACTTCTAAGAGTGTTCAAAAACAACCTACCACATCAGGTAGTAACAAGTTATTATTTGAAAGGTTATTTCTGACCATCACTTTACAATTGAGTATTACCAATCTGATAACACTTTTTTATAAAAAAAAAATAAAATAAAATAAACTAAATTAAACTAAAAAAATTATAAGAAAAAAAAATAAAAAATAAAAACATCAGAAAGTACATCTTATTCATAATTATTCTAGCAAAGTCACTAATACTTTAAACCTGTATTAAGGATATAATTACACTTTAACCTATACTAAAGAAGTAAAAATTTTATATAAATGATTTTAGGAATTACTATATATTTCTAATTTGTTATAATCTTCTAACTTAAATTTTTTTTATTTCTTTATTATATTATATATTAGGCTATATATATGATTGTTGTATTTCTATTACATTAAGTTATAATATATAACTGTTTAAAAAAAAAAGTGGCAAACAATACCAATCTTTTATAGAAAAGAAGCCAAATTTCCTACTTTTAGATAAAAAATTAAAATAAATAAAAAGGTCAACAAGTATGATATGTGAAGAGCCAAACTAAAGAGAGTGTTTTCAGTTATTTGTTCTGTTTCTAAGTTTTTAATAATTTTTAATTCGAGTTTTTTTTTATTGTTTTCAAAATGTTCTTCTGATTTGAATACTAAATATATTAAGAAGCCCATTTGCAAAAAGGTTTAACCTCAACACAAATCACCAAAAAAGTTATTTGCATTTTGTTTTTTTTATATATTTTTAGTTTGTTAGCAATAATTTGCTTTATATATTAAAACAGAATCAAAAATATTATCTGCTTAAAAATATAATTCTTTAAACTGTTTTAGTACTAGTTTGGTTTAAGTGATTATTAGAAGGAGTGTAGCATTTTTAATTCAGATATTGCTTTTGTTTACAAAATTTATTTATTATAAGAATACTATTTAAATTATAAGTAAAATCAAAGTTTAAATAAATTATATTCTTGACAGAATTTATAAATTCTAGTAACTGATTCTTTTCAAATTACTTTTAAGCTTGTTATAAATTTTTTATTAGGTTTTGATAATAATATGTGACAATTATAGTGTTAATTAACAAGATTAATTACATTATTTCAAAATTTTAAAAAACAAATTGCATTTATTGTTATATTTTTAGCTTAAACATTGCATTTTGGATCAATTTCTAAATATTCTTAATTTGCAAAAATGGAATTATAATTATAATTTTGAATGTTTTTTGATAAACATAGTCTTTGCTTTATAGCATATCATATATATTATACACATAGTTGCAAATAAGATTCTGATTATACTATTTGTATAGCATTTATTTTACAAAATAACTTATCAACAAAAACAAATAGAAATTTAGTTAATTGATAAATTTTTAAGCTATTCATTTAGTTAATAAGTAGTTTAGTAATATTTTTATTTTTTCTTACTTCAACTAAAAGATAA